ATGCATGATTTCTTCCATGATATAGAAAAGAGAATAGCAGCTAGATAGTTATGGTCAAGTTTTTCTAAAAGATTCTTACAACTGATATCTAAGGCAAATTCCAGTTAATAAATATCTTTAGATGCTATCCAGATCTCTTTGTGGACTGTTAGGACAACAGGTTAGACCAAAAGGGGGATTTCCAGCGGATAGGAATGCTATAGGTACATCCATGATATGGAGAATAGATTAGCAGCTAATTAATGCTATTTAATCCAAATGAAGAAAGTAACAAGTGAAACATAGAAATAGTGGAACAGTAGATGTTAACATCGTTATAGTAGACACTGCAACATACTTTCCTGTCATTCCTCTGATCAGCATGTCCATCTTGTGCAGAATAAGCCAAAATCAAATTCCCTAAATAAGCTCCAACATCAAAACCCATTGGTCCAACAAATGCAAATTCCGGATCTATAACCTGGGTTGAATCCTGAGTAACCATAATAGAACTGGTGTGCAGATCACCATGTATTAGGGCTTGAGCTCTTTCACAGAACCTACAGAAAAGACAATTCTCATATATAAGCATACGAAAAAGGCATAGAAGCAACACATAAATTACCACAGGGGAAGTGGGAAAGGAGTTCTGTTAACCACTGGTAACCACTACTGGAGTGAAATGATACTTTGATTTTAACTCAGCAACTTCAAGCTTTAAAATATTATCCTCACGCACAGCCTCAGCATCAAGATCAAGGTAAGGAGAAGTCCAACGGTTATGTTGAGATATTTTGTATGGGTCAGAAAAAACAACCTGTTCAGTCAGCCGACAAAGCTCCACGTTTCCACAAAATTCAGCAACTGCATAGAATATCAAATCAACATCAAATGTCTACATTTCAGCAAGCTAGCATAATCAACATGTAGACAGAGTTACCAAGCATTTTCAGAAAATTGCAACTTTAGTTTTTCGGGAACGTTATCAGTAATTGATTATTTGCCCATAAACAAAGACTTGCTAATATGACGTTGGTTATTCATACACAAATGGCCAATCATTGGCCTGTGTATTAGTGCCCGATGCAGTGACACGTCAGAAAATTAATTTAACACTCACAATCTATAGACTAAAATGGGTGCTATGTATCACACACGTAATAGCCAATCTATTAGCAGCAATTTTAACAAGAGAATTCAATTAAATTCTATAATTTCAATGTTCCATTATTTCATAATGCAGACTGCAGTCGCATAGTTTACAAGTCTTTTACATTTCAAATTAAATTTCAATAGGTGGGTTGGTTTGAAGTCATTTAGGACAAGATTCAGCACGCAATTCATCACGCAAATTTTAGCACTAAATAAATGTGAGACATCAAATACGAGCATCTAATCATGTAATGAATCTTTACCTGAACGTTTGTGCTCTGTGGTGGTATGGTATAGAAGGGATGTGAAGAAAAGAGTCCTTGCCATGTAATCAGACATGTGCTCCGCAAGCAGTGGATACTCAATTCCAGCAATCAATCCTTTTCTCAGAATTATATGCGGAGGCTCCAAGTACCGCATACCAGTTAAAGACATTGTACGGTCAAAATGATAAACTTCAGGAACATGAGCAGGACATAATGCACCGTGTTCTTTCAAAGCCAACGCCTCAAAATAGGCCCGTTCCTTACTCATCGGCCAAGATTCCCCAATACATCGAACGTACGGAAGGGCCTGAAATTAGAATTAAAATCCACTACTTAAAACGAAGAAAATTCTTCAATTATCAACCAAGAAAACCTAAGCTCCATCCACAAGCACGGGCCAATTTTGTTTCCTCAACCAAACAGCGAAAGCAAAACTCTAAAATCCAAAACAGAATCAAGTATCGCAATTCGGTTTCATTTCTAAAGCAAACAAACACTCAAAAATATTACAACTAACAAAAAAAATGAAGAAAGTGGACCTGCTTGATGACGAAGGAGCCAGAAGAGCCGACAACGATGTAAACGAAATTAAGATTACCATCTCCAACCTCTTTAATCACCAAATCATCATACTTCTCCCCGATTCTCGCAGAGAGAGCAGGAGTCGCTTTTATGTACTCTATCAACAACTTCTCGTCAACCGGCCGGAACTCAGTGAACGCCATCTCCTTCTTTTCAACTCTCCTTGTTGAGAGTTTGAACTAAAAAGCGAGCCGCTAGAGGTTGAAGAAGAACGGGATTATGGCGTGTTAGTATTTATACTCCGAGGAGAAAGGCGTGAAGCATGGTGTAAATTGACAATGATTTGAAATGCGGAGACTTTATTCGAACCAATGCGGTGAAGAGCTGCCAGAAACGAAAATGGGAATAATGACACACTGAACCTGGACCTGTTTGCGGTTTTTCGAAATCGTTAACCAGAGAACTTCGGATTCTTGAATAGAAAAACGGTGTCGTTTACTATTCTGGAAGTTGAGGAACCTGATTCGTTGGGGATATATCCGAAAGTAAAAAAATTTCAGCTTAATTTGAAGAAATATTTTTTAATTTTCATTTTCAAATATATATTATCTATAAAAAATTATATGATTTATTTAATATAAATATAATATAAAATAAATATTATTATTATCTAACTACTAAAAAAATAAATAATAAAATCTCCTAAAAATATATAAATAATAAATAGACTTAATTATTACGCAAGCCATCATTATGCAATATTAAGCGAATCTAACGGTTGAAACCGACAGATAAGTTGATCGGACGGTTAAAAAAGCACGGGCGTGCACATAAAGCATAATTAGAAACAGACAAAGGACATGTGGATTCTTGCTTCCCTTCTTTCCTAATCAGTACTAATCTTAAATCGGTTCTTCGGGAAGCTCGCCCTGATCTCAGATGCTCAGTCAGAGTCGACGGATGGAGGTGACGGTGCTGGTGGTTGCTCTGACTCTCATTTTCTCTCTCTTCATCTTCGACTCCGTCGGAACTCTCGCTGAGAGTTTATCCGGCATCCGGCATAGACAATCGGCTGGCTCTCTCTGTAGTCATCTCATCGAGCCCGCCGGTTATCCTTGCACTGAACACACAGTACTCTCTTTACTCTCTCTTAATGGTTGGTGGATATCTTGATTGTTTTGATTGATATTCGCTTGGTTTCGGAGAAACTGGAGGAAAAGAAAAAGAAACAGAAGAGGAGAAATGAGAGCTGTTCTGGTTTTTCGTTAAGCATAGAAAAGTAGAATTTCTGTTTTTTTATTGAAAGTGTCTAAAGGAACTTGGTTAGTTTCCTAGTTTATTGGAAGCTACTAGTTTGGCTTTTCTTAATTGGCAAGGTTTACTTCCAGTTCAAGACTGTTTTTAGGGAAGTTTGCTTCCAGTATTTGGATCGCATTGAGAAACTTTTGAGTTAAGTTGAGTTTCTAACTTTATTTACTATGAATAACGGAGAAATTGAATGTTATCTAGTGATATTTTACGTATACGACTGAGTTTTCAGTGGGATTTTGGAGGCGGGGAGAGGAGTTATTACTTGTAAGGGATTCTTGGTTTATTTTAATTGAAATCCGGTTTTGTATTGCACTTATCTCCAGATTCAGACAGAGGATGGTTACTTGCTTGCTCTTCAGCGTGTGGCATCTCGAATTGGGAATTTAAGAGTTCAACCAGGGCCACCAGTTTTGCTTCAGCATGGACTCTTTATGGTAAGTATACCTTGTTATTTCTAGAATGTGTAGCAAGTTTATACTAGGCTTATGTGTTGTATAAGTTTGAAAAAAAAATTGTGTGATTCTGTTTATGACGCTTCTCTTGTGATATTTGTGCTGGGCCTGCTGGCTTGGTGAAATAGATTGCAATAACAAAGCTATAATGATAACATCTTTTTATTATTTTAGATCATAATGAAGGAAGAAAGGGAATTGGCTTGCATTTGATGGGTTATAAACCAAATTGCTTCAGATGTTCCTTATCAAACCAGATTGCAATTGATGTGTTAGGGCCCTTAGATTTTAAAATAATATTCCTAGATTACTGAAATATTTGTCGATCTCTCTTATTGTCATAATGTCAAATAATCAGAGAGATTTTCTTGAGCCATTTTAAATAATTCTTTTTTAAAGTTGCTGAAGAATGTACGTATGGAATTTCAGCTATGATAGTGAATTTGCAACCAAATGAAGCTCTTATTCGTATCCATCAATCTTGCTAATTTCAGGCAGGTGATGCATGGTTTTTGGACTCCGCGGAGCAGTCACTGGGATTCATTCTTGCAGATCATGGTTTTGATGTATGGGTTGGCAATGTACGTGGTACACGCTGGAGTCATGGGCATTTGATATTTTCAGAGAAAAACAAGGTATATGCTGATGCACCTGGCTTTCTCCCTTATTACAGAGGTCACCATACAAATCAATTATCATGTAGTAATTTCCATTTGCTGGAAAATATATTCTTTTCCATTTCGGATTTCATTTTTTACAAACTATTCAGAGTTATGGCCATAAAATTGTGAACCTTCTGGTGCTCAGATTGTTCCCCTGGTGAATGGCTAAAACCATCTTGTTTTATATCTAATTATGCGAAGCTTGAGCTTGACCAACATGAACATGATGGGAGAATTTCAAACACATAAACAAGGTGTAATAGTTATTACCAAAAAAGCAAGATCTAATAGTTTAATGTCCAATTTTCCTAACTGGCTGGGTTTTCAGTTCAGTGTAGCCTCAAGGTAAACTTGTATATTTCACAATGTGAACTTGGATAAATAATTGAGGTGTGTGCATTTGAATCTGGTTTTCACTAATATTACAATGTTGCTTGTTAATGGCATGGCATACTTCAATAAACATTTTGTACAAGGGTTCATAGTAGATGTCCCAGTAAGCTGAAATGTGACTCTGGCAAGCATTTGTTCCTGTGCAGGAATTCTGGGATTGGAGTTGGCAGGAATTGGCTCTCTATGACCTTAAAGAAATGATACAGTACATAAGTTCATTAACAAACTCCAAAATTTTCGTTGTTGGACATTCACAGGTTTCTGTACTTCTTGCTTCACAGTATATAAACTGGTATTTGCATCTTGTCTTATATGTGTCTGACTCTGATATATTTGCTTTCTTTACAGGGGACAATTATGTCTCTGGCTGCTCTTACTCAGCCACATATTTCTGAAATGGTTGAAGCTGCTGCTCTTCTCTGTCCTATATCTTATTTGGATCATATCAGTGCTCCTCTTGTGCAGAGAATGGTTACTGTTCACCTTGATCAGGTATTTGTTTGATATCTTGTATTATCATGTAAAAATGGTTTGCGGATCATAGAAATAATCGAAGACTATTGTCTCAGATGATTTTTGCTCTGGGCATACATCAAGTGAACTTTAGAAGGTAACTAACACATTCATGTCATCTTGTAAATGTTATCAAAATGTTGTGAATTCATGCTAGGTTTTATTTTGTAACTTTATCATCTGTTAAATTTCACTTTCAGTGATGTGTTACTTAACCTTGTGGATTCAATGTGTGGTGGTGAAGTGGATTGCAACAATTTTCTAACTTCTATAACAGGTTCAACCTTTATCTCCTTCATGCATTCATATTCGTTTTACCATCTTAAGTTTAGATAATTTTTTCTCTTAGCAACTTATGAATTGCTCATGTAATGCAGTTTTCATTTGATCTAATGCATGTTGGCTTTCGTATGGTCCTTATATTATCAAGGCCTTGTTTAGCATTGAGATCTTTTTTTAAATTTTCACTTCCTAAAATCGTATATGTTTATATGAAAAATATATATATATAGTTGCTGAAAATGAAATGATATTTAGGAAATGACAGTGAATTGTTTACAAACTTATATTAAATTTTCACTATCATTTTCCAATAACATTTTTCATTTTCAATAATTCAAATTTATATTATATTTTCACTATCATGTTCCACTTCGGGTTTCCATTTTCAGTTATTCAAACATTTCTATAACTAAACAAGGTCTAATTTTTTCTTTAGCCAAGTTGAAATTTTTATTGGAGTTTTATTTACTCAAAGTAGTTGAGCTTGGATTTTTCTTATTTTAGAATCAAGGTGAGTTTAAACATTGGATGATCTTGTGCAAGGGAGCTAGAACTAGGTAGAAGTTTCGATTGCATGATATTTTCACACCAAATGATGGTTTTTTCTTTAAGGACGGAAGTATGCAGGAGAGCATTGGAAAGCATAAAAGAGGAATACAAATTTCTCCATGAAAACAGCTTTAAACTGTGAACTCCTACATGGAAAGTGTGTAGCTACAACGTAGTTAGGTTATTCTTTAAAGTCTCTAAGTTTTTGGAGGTTAGGTGTGAGTAGAGTGCGCTGCAATTGTCACAAACAAAACCTATTTAACAGATTTGAAGATACAGGATATTTTTCCCTGTTCTTCTAAAGTTCTAGAGATTATATCCTTAAATTCTTTCTTTCTGGTACTAGTTATTTTTCCTGTCAATCAGCAGCAGACATCATCCACTTGGGTTGTGTTACATGATTACTGGTCCCTTTCTGCTAATGATTCCATTCAGTAGAGACTCCTTAACAAACTAGGTGATTTGCATGGGGGTTAATACACATGTTCTGCATTGAATATCCTGGAGTGTTTTAAATAGGTGATTTGTAGACATTTGAATGTTTGCAGTGGCTTTAGAGTCTAAAAACTCCTACAGTCTATCATTTAATGAAATCATAAGATGAGAAACATTGTTCCAAAACAAATATTTACAATGTGGCTAGCAATGTTTCTGATGTATCTACAAATGCCATCTCCTATGCAGGGAAGAATTGTTGCTTCAATAACTCCCGTGTGGACTTCTACTTGGAGTATGAGCCTCACCCATCATCTACAAAAAACATGCGCCATCTTTTCCAGAGTATGCTCTTCCCTTTTATTTTGGGAGTCTTCTTGTTTGTTTCAATTTTATGTGCTTATAAGTTCCTGTAAAGTTTCTGGAATTTCAGATTTCGTTTAGAAATGTTTAATCATATCGAGCTAAAGTCTTTTTCTTATTACTGTGGAATTTCCTTTTTTGAGTTTTAATAAAATAGCCATCGCCTTCCTCTACATAAACCCGAGCTAATATGCTAAACAACGCCTTGCTTTGTTTCTTCTCTGTTATTTCTGCATTAGAAGGAAGGGAATCCTGTGACAGTGTCATGGTTTTGTTGAATGATGATTATCACTTACATCTTTAGAAAGGAGTTGTTCGCATCTCTCGATGACAAATTATACTTCTGCTTTGTCTCATGTCTGGCAGTGATTCGTAAGGGTACGTTTGCGCACTATGATTATGGAATCTTCAAAAACCTGAAGATATATGGTCAGTTGAAACCCCCAGAATTTGATCTTAGCCGCATTCCAGCATCATTACCGTTGTGGATGGGCTACGGGGGAAATGATGCTTTAGCAGATGTCACAGATGTGAAGCATACTCTTAAGGAACTGAGATCCAAGGCCGAGTTGCTTTATCTTCGGAACTATGGTCACATAGACTTTCTGTTGAGTGTAAAAGCAAAGGAAGATGTCTACACTCAAATGATTGATTTTTTCAGGCCCTGGGGAAAGTCCAGTAGTTCTTGATATGGTTGCTACTTACTGTCTGTCAGTCATGGTATCTCAGACGGCTTTCCCCCTACTATTTCTGTACATATATATATATATACACGCTTACACGTATATACGCATATACATACGTACACAAATATATGTAAATACGAATATATGGATTATATAAAGTTCCCCCTTTTCTTCTCATCACTTTGTTTTGTTGATTATCAGCAATGTTTTCCCTAATCAATTATGAAGATATTATTACATTAAGATAGAGTATTTTGAGACGGCATAATTTTTATATTATCGTCACGAGGTCGAAAATAATATTTACGTACATTAAGTAATCGAATAACTATATAAGTATTTCGTGAATATGGTTTATTCATATAAGCTAAAATGAGAATTTTGTTAAACCTAAACAATAGCAGTTTCAGTTCCATAATATCATTTAAATTTACACTTTGATTAAGCCATGTAAAATAACAGTTATTCATTCAGCTTGAACTTCACTGTAATTTGGGGGGTGGTTTTTAATGAAGTATTAAACGCATGCACCGCAACTTAAACTTGAACTTACTCTCCAACATCCAATCAGAACACGACACGTGTAAATTAAATTCCTGTTGACTCGTTGACCAACTCCTCCCCCACCACGGTTGCCTTTGTTGCTGCTGATTCATCTCTGCTAGTGGCAGGGATACTGGCCACCCCCACGCACCTCCTCTTCAACTCATCAACGAAGGCCTGTATGTTTTTATGGGAGGAGCCGCCGTCGGCCACCGCAGCCTCCGCCTCTTTCTTCCACTTCAAAGCATTGTTCTTCAACTCCACCGCCGCTGGACCCGACGTAGCCTGAATCAAACACTTCTCAATCTCCTCCCTTGAAACAATCCTCTTGATCCAATCGCCATTGTTCTCTCCTCTGCTCACCCTGATCCCTATCTTGAATACCTCCTCCAAGTACTTCGCGTTGGTCACCTGGTCACCCCATTGCGGGAACGCTACAATCGGCACGCCGGAAGATAAGGACTCCATGGACGAGTTCCAGCCGCAGTGGGTAAGAAAGCATGAAATGGAAGGGTGAGCCAGAACTTTCTCCTGCGGACTCCACTTCACAATCTTTCCCTTCTCTCCAACTTTCTCCAAGAACCCATCTGGAAGAACAACGGGTTCGTCGCCGGAGATTCTCCTTGGCGGCGGCCTCATCACCCACAAGAAGAACAAGCAGGAGTTTAGCAGACCGTGAGCGATCTCGTTAACTTGCTCTTGCACCAATTTTACTATGCTGCCAAACGAGATGTAGACGACGGAGGACGGCGGTTTCGAGTCGAGCCACTCGAGGCAATCATCTGGCGTCAGCAAGTCTCCGGTAACGTTTTCGTTTTGGTTCTTGAACAAAGGGCCTATTGTCCTGATAGGGAAAATCTTGGACATGTAATCGATGACCTCGAGCTCAAGTTCTTGGAAAGTTTCCATAAATATGCCAAAGGGTTTGTCAAGATTCTCGAACTGATCAATAATCATTCTTGTCAAGAAAGGGTAAACGGTTGAATGATGCATGAAGGTAGGAACTTCATGGTATTTCAACAATGGCATGCAAGGCAACTGAACGTCGATTTCAGGATCGGCCTCGGTTGGAAATGGAATCAGATCGTGATAATAATGGTAATACGCAGCAAAGCAAGCGCAGGATTGGACCCAGAGAAGCGCAGAGGGGAGAGCGAGACTCTCGGCGACGTCACAAACCCATGGGATGAAAGGGTTGCTGATTATACACGAAACGGTGCGTTTTTGTTCAGCGTTAGTTTTGATCATGAGAGGGATGACTTGTCTGCCGACAAGCTCCAGCTGCTGCATATACTGGTTGAGGTCATATCGCCGGGGATCGTCGTCGTTCCATCCGTCGTGAAAGAACTCGAACCTGATGAAGCCGTCACCGATCGGCGTTAAGTCGGCGGAGATATTAATGTTCGCAGTTCGCATCTTATTGCCGACGATGTCGGGCGCGGTGAAGGTGACGAGGAAGCCCTTGGAGGCAAGGCGCTTGCCGAGCCTGAGAAGTGGGTTGACATGACCTTGCGCAGGGAAGGGGACGAGGAAGAGATGAAGAAGATTATCATATCCCATTTTTAACTTGTTTTTGAAATATCTAGCTGTAGCTCTACTTGCCGAGACTCAGAAATACAGAGAGATCACTGAAGGTGAAGACTACTCAAAGACTTGAATACACTAGGTTCATACACCCACGCATCTTATCTTTGCTCTTTTAGTGCACATAACATATATATATATATATGTATATCTTACTTTTTTTGAAGCCGGAGAAAAACAGAAGCGAAATAAGATTTGTGGACTGGCGAAATCAGATGAGGCAGCGATAACGTTAAAGGTGGAAACAAGAGGAGGCTGTGAGTGGTGGGTCCGGCCAAGTGACAAGAACCGTACTTGATGCAGACTCTTAACGTAAAACGGTGTCGTATACAGCGACGCGTGCATGTGATGTCGTTCTAATTGTGGAAAGTTCATGAAATTATTAATAGAAAGAGTTGATTGTGTACGTACAATAAATTTTTTTTATTTTTATCATTGTTATTATATTAAATTTTAATTTAATTTAATTTAATTTTTTTCTTGAACTATAAGTAGAATTAGTTAATTAATCAATTAATTCTTTAATAAAAAATTACATTACATGTTTAAATTTTTCTGCACGTGGCAATTTGTAATATAATTGGGCTACTTGCATTTTTTAGGTACATTAATAATTTATTTCGCTATATTTTCAATTTTCCAATCTTGTGAAATTGATTTGTTTTTAAATTATCATTTTTATAATTTTTTTAACTAATAATTTTTAAAAAATATGTGATAATTGAGATTAAAAAAATAATAACAAAATTTTCCACTTGTCTGCCACGTGGAGTCTCGAGGGCCGTCCGATCCGTGGCTGACCTTGACCCGACAAGCGCACGATGGTCATACGTTTTGTCCCCCTCTTTAAAACTCTTGATTGGACACTCGACCCGAAAGAATGCACTTCAAATGGGCCGGGAAGCCCGTTAAATTATCCGGCCCAGACCAAGTAAAATGAGAGTACTAAACTTGTTTGGGCCGAGGTAATCTGGTTCCATAAAAATAGGAAATTAATAAAATGTCAATAATTAAAAATATATTTAAGTTAGTAATAAAAATAGGTAAAATAGAGGAATTAGTACAGTAAATTTTAATTATATTTTCTCAAAAAAAATTGAAATATAAATAAATAAATAAACGAGAGATTCGATAGAAGAAGGGAGGGTGAGAGAACGCAAACTCAAAAACCCATTTCTGATCTTTACCAGATCAATCCAACGGCGGAAAGCTCCCAAGCGCGGCGACAAAATGTTCCGGCAAGCCACACGTGCTATCGTTCAACGATTCTCCGCAGCAACGACGATCAGGGGAGGCCGACAGTTCTCCACTGAGGTGCCGGCCACACCCACTGCCGACTCGGCCTTCGTCGAGGCATGGAAGAAGGTGATACCAAACATCGACCCTCCGAAGACCCCTTCTGCTTTCATGATCCCTCGCCCTTCCACTCCCTCTTCGATCCCTACTAAGCTCACTGTCAACTTTGTCCTCCCTTATCAATCTGAGCTTGCTACCAAGGAGGTCTGGTTCTTGCTTTGATTTCCTTTGCTTCAGTCGTTAGATTCGAAATATGTTTTCTTTGTACGCTTGATTTTTGTTTTTTATGGCTTCTTGTGGGTATTTGGTTCTGCATCTGCATTTGGATTTGGAGTTGTTTGTGGTATTAATTGATTTGTGCTTTGATGTTGTATGACCTGAGATTCTCTTTAGACTTAAAACTTTTGGTTTATTTTCACTGATTGCTTGGGTCTGCTTTGTTAAATTATTCTTTTGAGAGATTTTGACATCTGGTCTGTGATTGGATTGAGAAATTGTGGAAGTTCATGTGTTAATTTAGGGTTTTTTCTAATCTGAGTTTAAATTGAGTTTGTAAAGAACATAAATTCATTTGGCTAATTCGCTAAACAATAGTGTATTTTTGTCTTTTGGATTTAAGAGGAATTCATTTTATTCATTGAGTTTGTGGGGAAGAGTTGGAGGATCGCTGGGCTGTGTTGGATACTGCATTTATTATTTAGTCTTCATTGTTTTATGTTCCCGTTGGTTCCTTATTTCTGTTGTTTTCTTACTAACATTGTTTTGGTCCTTAGTCATCTATATAGAAATGGATGGATTTGATACTATTATGCATTTTTCTCTAGATTATTTATATATAGACTCGAACACGTGGATTTTACCAGAAATATCCCGGTTTTAATATTTAAGAAAGTTAGCTACTTTAACATGTGGCAAAACTTTCGGAACTTTCAAGTTGAAAACTTGACGGATGCTTTCCTAAAGAAAAATCTGAAAGAAGCTGTTTTTATGCTGCCGGGAAGTGAAGTATGTCGTGGAAGCGAAAAGGTTGGGCTTGTCATTGTTGATTAAGACTTACCAGCGGACACTGGATGGAATGGCAGAGGCAAGAGTGTACAAAAAGCTACATACATGGTTGAGACTTTCACTCATGGAATGAGTGCTATGAATCAGCTAATCAGGTTGATATTAGAGAGGTGCCCTTGCCTCTTAAGAATATACAACATTCATATGTTTATAAGTGTCGTTGAAATTCAAAGAGGTTATGGAATAAGCTTTTGGTAAGTAATGATTAAGAAATTGAGATTGCCCTCGGTCATTGTTTGCCTTTGTGGAGAGCTGCTGGAATTGGAAATTAGCTGGAAGGGCAACATTGTGTTTGTAGAATTTTAAGTAGTTCGATAGTTCAATGCTATGAGAAGTAACTGAAACTTCTGTGACATGGTTCAAATATATAAAACATGCAGAATATGGATACATGTATGAATAGAACGTACATTTGTGCATATAGACATGAATACAGATTCTAAATGTTACATGATTTATAAGAACCAGATGAACAGGCGGAGACTTGCTCTAGTACTTAAAATCTTGAATTTTTGCAAAAGTGAATGGCATTTTTAGCTGTCATTTACATCGTTATATGCTGTATGTTTTAGAAGGGTTTCTAATGTTTAGCTTGGTTCTTCAATCTGTTGCTTGACCACCTGTTTCTAGCTTTCTGGTTTGTCTTCTTTATTTATTTTTAGTTCCCTTGCTACAAAAAAAAAAAAGGAGGAAAAGAAAAAAGAAAAAACCATATGGTAATTTTAGGGACTTATTTGGTAATCATTTTGTATATTTAGATGAAAATATCTCTACTTTAAATTATTTGTCCTTATTGGATGGATATACCCTGATTGTAACCAAAGCATCTATAACATATGATCACAGGAATTGTTTTTATTGGACAGGACAGGCTGTTATTGTTAATTTAATTTGTTTATGATCATTGTGCGGTAATATGCTCAAATGCTATATTGGTGGCTGAATTCTGAATTGTGAGTTATAATACATAAATTAACATTTTAGTGCCTACTCTGTATTTGACTTGCTCTGGAACAATCAGAGTAATCTTGTAAGGATCTTGCAGGAGTATATGGGAGAAGTGACAGTCTACAGGGATAAAAGCATATAAATGATATATATATAGGCACTGAAAATACCAAATGTTTTGAATTTACATTGCTTGAAATTTCTAGTGTTCTTTGAAGTTTAGAACCCTGCAGATGATATAATCGAAAGAAACTAAATTGTATATACCTTCTACCGTATGGAAATATTATTTTTGTGGAAATTCCCAAGTAGGTGTAAATTATTGTGTAGGAACATTATATAAACCATTCTGCTGTAAACCTGTACCCTGGGGTGGGAATGTGGTCTTGGTTTACTGCCTTTTTGTTCTTCATACAGCTCAAGAAAATATGACTGATGTTGTGATGCTTCCTGTTGTCTTTTGTTAATTTTATATCTCTACTTATGCTGAAATTCTTTATTAATAATCTGGGTTTCTCCTTGGTTTTCTTCATTTATTCAGTGGACTCTGTGTATAAGGCTTCCTAGTAGTTTTAATAATCTTTCTTGCTATTTATCTTAGGTTGACATGGTCATCATTCCAGCAACAACCGGGCAAATGGGTGTCTTGCCTGGACATGTACCTACAATTGCAGAACTGAAGCCCGGGATCTTGTCAGTGCATGAAGCAAACAATGTGACAAAATATTTCATTAGCAGCGGCTTTGCATTTATCCATGCAAATTCTGTTGCAGACGTAATTGCTGTTGAGGCTGTGCCACTTGATCAGATTGACCCTAGCCTGGTCCAGAAGGGTCTTGCAGAGTTCACCCAGAAGGTCAGTTCAGCTTCGACTGACCTTGAGAAAGCTGAGGCCCAGATTGGGCTTGATGTTCATAGTGCTCTCAACTCTGCTCTCTCAGGCTAATATGGTCTAGCATCATATTGATTTTTTACGTGTAGTTTTGCTTCTTGTTTTCATGAATCTCTGAATTCTCTCTATAATCAGAGAACTGGTTAGATGTCTTCCTTGTGATTTCCATAAAGTTGAAATAAATCTTTTGAGGAAGAAGATTATATCTTGTTTGCACCTTTTGTCTGTTTGTCCATGAGTTACTGACGTTACAGATTTGATGTTACAAAGAAAGTAAAAATAGCCTTTGGGCAATTTGTTATGGTTTCATCTTCTGTGATGAGATTGCTTGATTTTACTCGTCACATGGTAATCTAGCAAAATAACTTTGGATGATCTGCTTCTGATGTATATATTTTTAATCTGAATCTGTTTTTGATATTAACATCTGCTACCCTAGAAACTTATACACACTGTATAAACTATATATAGCAGAATGGATATATAATTATGTGGGTTAATATAGCTGCTTACATAAAATCCTCTACTAATTAAACAACAACAAATCATAGCATACAATTGGTGATGACTTCCATCCCACCTTATTCAATCATAGGATAAATTAATGGAATCTACTAAATATACAAATATATATATGTGTATATATAACTCTAATTGGCATAGCTACACATTCCATAGAGGCATGAACTGCCTTTCTTGCAATTATTAGTGCAACCTCCACAGTTTTTCTTGTCCAACATTGGGTTCACACACTTACCCTTACAGCAAATTTCGGAATACTTACACCTCTTACCACATCTTCCGCAGTTGAGCCTATCTCTCATTACATTTACACATCTCTTTCTGCAGCAATCAGGTCCTGGACTGCCCGTCGCAAGGCAAATCCTAGGGTATTTGTCACATGTTGTTGCCCGAGTCCTCTGTGCTAGAACACGGCCTATTCCTCGTAGAGAAGTTAGTCCTTTTACATCATCAACTCGACGAAGACCAGAATAACTACCATTATTGTTGTTTTCAAAAGAGAAACTTTGCTCTGATAATTTGTCACCAAGAGTGCTAGTAATGGCTATGGCCATGAGGATGGATAAGAGAAGTAAAATCTTAATGAGGGATTTCATGATGTTGTAACTTAGTTTTCAGTCTTCTGAGATTTTGGGTATGATGAGAGGTTTTAAGCGGAATTTGCAGAAGTTAAATCAATGGGAAACAAGTGGATTGGTATAAAGTATAAATGTATATGTATGTATATATGATATGCATAAAAATAGGCAGGAGTTATGTTAATGTTTTTGGACAAATGGAGAGATCTGCATGGGGTTTTATAGGGAAGATTAATGGTTTGGTCAAATTCAAAGAGTGCAGGAGATTGGAATTGACTAATGGAGTTAGGCTTTTAAAGAAATATTAAACCCCAAATTAGGCAAAAAAAAAAATATATATATATATATATATAAACTTGTTAATCAAGTAATTAAGGGTACAAGCAATTGCTGGACAGTTTATAGTTGACTTGTGTTTGATCGTTTTGAAGTTGTTCAAACTTAATTATCCAAATTTTCTCGAGAAAATTTCCAAGAAATGTTTCTAAAACCGTTATAAAAGCACTTGTACACTTCAGTCTCTGTTATGACTAATTATATTACAATCACATGCTAATTTATTTGTAGGATTCACCCAAAAGATAATATATTATCTTTCACAATTCTACCATAACCTCTACAAAGATCCTTTAGTTATATATATATATATATATATCATATAATTCTTAATATCAGATGGTTAAGATTGTAAATCAAAACTATAAATCAAACCCTCTTAATTTCTTTCCATACAAGCTCTAGATTTAGGAATTGTATTTTCATTTTCACCAATTTTGCAAGAAACTTAAATTATAACATTTGAAAGCAGCAAATTCAATTTCAAATTCACAAGGCTCCAAACAACATTCTTGAAATTAATTAATCCTTATAAATGTA